AACTCACTTGGTAGCCCAGGCTGGCCTCGAACTCACAGAGATCCGCCTGCCTCTGCCTCCCGAGTGCTGGGATTAAAGGCATGTGCCACGACCACCAGGCTCATTTTTCTATTTTTCTTAATGCTTCTTTTTGTTGTTGTTCTGTATATTACCTAGTTTAGGGAAAGCCTCATGGGTTGCCAAAAAGATTGTGAAATTTTTGGTGTTTGGATGGAATGTTCTGAGGCTCTTAGGACTATTTTATTTATGATATCTTTTAACCTAGTTGTTTTCAATAAGGGCACAAATCTTCTCTATGTGTCTGTCCTTCTCTTTGCAACAGGGGGTACTTAGGACATAGATTTTTATGGAAGTGGTAAAACATACACAAAAACAAGCTTAGCCTACAACCACAGTAGTATGTTTTAAGTCAGGCTATATGATTCATAGTAATTCTTTCATTTAAGAGTTTCCTGACATGACACTAAGTTTGTTGAAGTTATTTGAAATCTTTCAGGAAAATATCAGTTTTCTTATTGTCATTAAATTCATTTTCTGAATAGACTACATGTTTTATAGCTATTCACACTCATATAAGAAATAATAGCTTATAAGGACATAATGTAGGCTATGCTTTTATTAATGTTTATAATTACAGTATTATACATTTGTTTATTTTATCAGTGGGGGTGCATATGCACTAAAGCATGTGTCGGGGAGGTCAGAGGACAACATGCAGAGCCAGGTATCTTTTCCACTAAGTGGGTCCTGGGGATTGAATTCAGGTAATAAGGATTGGCAGAAAATACTTGCTGCCTCACCTGTTTCTAATTCTTATGACTGCCTAAAATAATATTATCCTCCATTTTTTTTAAATTTGAAAACCAATGCCAAGGATGAATTCTAGTGCAATAACTCTACTGAGAAGATTTGTGAAAATGATTCACTTTTAGACCCATTCAAGCATACATGCCTGCATTGTCTATATGTGCTTATATGGCTTTAAGATTTTTTTTTCATGCTGGAGAGATGGCTCAGGGGTCAAGAACACTGCCTGCTCTTCCAGAGGTCCTGAGTTCAATTCCTAGCAACCACATGGTGGATCACAAACATGTGGTTTTGAGATCTGGTGCCCTATTCTGGCCTGCAGGCATACATGCAGGCAGAACACTGTATAATAAATAAATAAATAAATAAATAAATAAATAAATAAATAAATAAATAAATAAATAAATAAATACATCTTTTAAAAATAATTTATTTATGCAATCATAAATTAATTACAACAAATGCATAATTTCTTTTTGCAATAATAATTTAATTACAACATACCTTTTTTTCTTTTCCTCCATCCAAACCCTCCCATATACTCCTCCCTATACTCCTTTTTCAGTCATTGTTAATGCACGAATATATGCATATATGTGTGTACATATTTAGAAGCATAACCTGTTGAGTCCATATAATGTTACTTCTCTGTATGTTTTCAGGGCTGACCATGTGGCACTGGAAAACCAATTGGTGTGCTCGTCCCTATGGAAGGGGCCTCATGGAAATTTTCTTGTCCATTTTGACATGTGCACTGGTGTCACCCCTGTTCAGATCACATTTGGGTAGTCAAGAGTGGCATGGTTTTACCAGGACAATCATATCTGTGGTCAAAGCAAATTTAAGATTTGGGGCCTAATATATATTAAACTGTGGAGTCATTCTTAGGAAAGCAAAACTAACATAAAATTAAGTGGAATTCAGGCGGGCCTTGCCGAAACTTAAAATTTATTAGCTTCATAGTATATCAACCGGCACTTGAGACATAGTAGAGCCACAAAAATTAAATAAGGAAATAAGTAATTAGAATATTCACAAAAATTTCAAGAAAAATATTAGGGAAAACAAAAATAAGACTGTTGGCATTGAGGGATTTATGGAAACTGAGTCAGAGAGTACTTTTGGAAGTGATTCTTCTTTTTCATGACTTTAGGACAAAAACTTTCCTGGTAGGGGAACTGTATTCAATCATCTGGATTGAAGTAGGCAAGGGTATATAAGAAACACAACAACCAGTAAGCTTTTCATTAAGTTTATTATTATTATTAATTATTATTATTATTAAAAATCAGGGTAGAAAAACAGCTTAGCAGTAAAGAGCACTGAATATTCTTCCAGAGTACCTGGGTTTCAATCCTAGTACCCACCTGTTCGTTCACAACTCCCTGTAACCTCAGTTTCAGTCAATCCAGCACCCTCTTCTGGCCTTCATGGACACCAGGCCTGTAGTACACAGACATACATGTGGGCAAAACACCCATACACACAAGAAAAATTAAAAATTAATTATACAGTTATTCTAGGTAGCAGATATTGATACTTGTTTCTTTCATTCCTTAAGATACCAGGAAATTGATCTGGGTTGCACAGTAGCATGACCTTGAGACTAAATATATGTATTTACTGGCTTAACTATGAAAACATTATAATATGTAAATATAAGTTCTCAGAACTATAATGTACATGAATGCCTACAAAATATGTTCATATTTTACCTTGTTATTAATAATTGATATTTTCAGGGGAAGGATTTGACATTATTCAAATAATGGCTACAGAGCTCTTCTTGGACTTCAAGCATAGTCAATCAAAGAGGATTTAAAAAAAAACATTTAGCTCATTGCTCACTTTGAAGTATATACTTTTAATTTTTCCTTTGATTCTTTTAGTCTTACTAGTGATTCATAAGCCAAGAGGTAAATCAATAACTCTTCAAGGAATACTGAGTTTATGGGAAAACCTGGGCTCGGAAAAATAATTTGTTCATTCAAGCAAGAGTGTTATTTTCCACCAACACCAAATTTTCAGGAAAGATTCTGTGTTAAAATGATACCTAACAGAAAACACTTCATAACTCACTTCCTATGTACAATAAATCTATTGTAATCCTCTTTATGATGAAACCTGAGAGTTTGAAAAAGTCCCTAGCTCCTCATACGAGCACTATAGTACTAGTAAAGTGTTATATATCTACTCAGAGCTTTGCAGGAGAACACACAGGGAAAATGGGAATTCAGAAATGAAGTTTTACCTCAAGAAACTTTAGACTACATTAAGTATGTTATCAAAAACTTGGGACAGTAACAATGTCTTGTTTCTCTGCTGAAAAAACATCCGAAAGTTTTGGTGCTAGATAGACTCAGAAAATTTGCCGTGGAATAAAGTACTTTACATATATATGCCTGCTTGTTTGTGTGTTTGCACGTATGTCTGCTTTCATGAAAGTATCATTAAAGATCCATTATTTTGTATAATAAAAATGTTAATACAAAAGATTTTATAATACAAACTTTGTCTAATAGCTGTGCTCTTTACCAAGTTATATACTTTTGCACGTTTATTTCAGTGGTACAGCAGGAAGATTGTCAACAGTAGAAAACAATATTCATACTTGAGCATATTTGAAAATATATGTTTATGCTAACCATGTTGTAATGAATTAGAGATTATGATTTGCACTTATGGGATCACTGAGGAACAATCATGGTAAACATATAGATATAATTACTATAGTGGGCTCACACTGAACCTGATTCTATCACTTGAGGTCTACCATTTCCTTTGTGAATCAGGAGACGTGAATATATATTCAAGCTGAGTAAGTCACTGACAGTATTAGTCAAGGACTCTTACAAAGTCCTGATTTGTTTTTTGTTTTGTTTTTTGTTTTTCGAGACAGGGTTTCTCTGTGTAGCTTTGCGCCTTTTCCTGGAACTCACTTGGTATCCCAGGCTGGCCTCAAACTCACAGAGTCCGCTTGCCTCTGCCTCCCGAGTGCTGGGATTAAAGGTGTGCGCCACCACTGCCCCGGACCAAAGTCCTGATTTTATCATCTGTAAAATGTGAGCATTCTGATGTGCAATATAAGATAGTAATTTAAAACCATGATTCCTAACTACATTTTAAATGCCTATGCTTGTATTTACAGGTAACTGTGCTCTAAATACCTATTCTTATATCCACAAATAAGTATAGCTAAAAGTTTTTCTTAATGTGTTTTATTTTTGTGTTAATGTACACAGATGCATGTGTCTACATGTGTTGTTGTGTTTTGATTTCTAAAACAGGAAATATTTGTGATAAATTGCATGCATAGTTTTGAAATCTGGAGGAGTATAAATTTAAATCTTCAGAGTGCATCTGTAGAACCATTACATATCCAATTACAGGTGTTCACTGATGGATTTCTTGCTTTAATCATTCTACCATGTAAACAAATAGAAAAGTTTCATTGTTGCCCATAAATACATAGTTTATATAATTATTTATCAATTAAAAATAAAACTAATTATTTCACATATAATAGTTTTCCAGATGTGGCATATTCAATATCCCTTGACTTCATAACCTAACTTGGTAGGTTTCATCAGCTCATAACCTCTCACTAGATAGAAGTGAGCACACAAGAATTGAGTATGTTTCATAGGGAAACAAAATCAAAGTGATAGGATGTCCCTGTAATGCTTATCTCATGCTGCACTTACACTAGTTAATAAATTCAAGTTAGTTTACTTCTTTGATGGTTAATCTGTATCTCCAACCCCTCTTTATCCTAGTATTTTATTTTAAATAAGACAACATATAGCTCCTAGAATTGTTTGGATGTCAAACCAGATAATACTCCTAAAAAATCTTGTAAGTAATAAAATAAACATGGAGTTCAAGAAACCATAAATACATTCACTTCCAATCTGTTATAACTTGTGCATTTTAATTTGCCTCTTTAGTGCTTTATTTTGACAGGTAATTGAAGTTAATTCTGGGGGCTGGAATTGTGGCTAAATAGTAAAGTACCTGAGTTAAAAGCATAAGGCCACAGGTTTCTATCCCCAGCACCATGTGAAAGTGATAAATGTGTTATTTGCTTGTTTGTTTGTATTTGTATGTAGATGTGGAGTATATTCATGAATGTTTGGGTGCGAGCACCCATGCACATGCACAGAGGCCATAGGAAGACATTGAGTATCCTGCTTATTATCTGGCTTATTCTCTTGAGACAGGGTCTCTCCCTGACTCTAGAACTAGGCTGGCAGCCAGCGAGCCTAAAAATCCTGTCTTCCCATGCTTCTAATAGAGCTGGAGTTACAGGAACAAGAACAAGCCACATCCAGTTTTTAATTTTAGTGCTGGAGATTTGAACTCAGGTCTTTATGCTTACAGTGCAAACACTCTTATCCACTGAGAAAACATTGAAGAAAAAAATTCAGGAGGTTGTATTTACATATTGTGCATATATATGTATGTATATATCCACTATGCCACAAATAAAATTTTGTATTTCTTACTGTTAACTTATTAAACATTTATTTTATCCAAAAGGTTTTCAAATTTTTTAATATGAACTCCTAAAAATGTTTTGATCTATTATTTTAATTTCACTATGATGCTTTGAAGTTTTTCCAAACCTAAGATTATTTAAATATATATTTGTGTATTAGTTAAGTAATTGTGGAATTTCAGTTTTGATATTGAGTAGAATCCATTTGATGCTTGTTTTCAGATGTGATGCCTATTTTGAATAAGTCAAGAATTATTCATTTGTTGTTCTTTTACTTTCTCAGCAAGAGCACATCTGTTCCTCAGCCCTGATGACCTTGCCATACATTATTAGAAAGGAAACTGCCTTATCTTTTGCATCAAAGGTAAGATAAATATCCATTGCCAGTTCACCACTGTAACCTGATACAACAGTGCTCACCAGAATCAATTTTACAGGTACCAACCATAATAGACTGTGTTTTTCCATTATGTGCTCTCAACTCACGTGTCAAAAGTCAGCTGACTATATACATGCTGATAAAATTTGGAGTCCATCATTCTATGGCCTTAGTTTTGTGTCCACTTTCTGCTGTAGTTTTTGGGTTATTCCAAATCTATAGTACATTTTTAAGTCAGTCATTGTATGATTTTCAATTTGTTGATTTTTTTTTTTTTTTTTGTTTTTCGAGACAGGGTTTCTCTGCGTAGTTTTGCGCCTTTCCTGGAGCTCACTTGGTAGCCCAGGCTGGCCTCGAACTCACAGAGATCCGCCTGGCTCTGCCTCCCGAGTGCTGGGATTAAAGGCGTGCGCCACCACCGCCCGGCCAATTTGTTGATTTTTTTATTAGCTCAGCATTGCTTTTTTGGCTATGCTTTGTCTTTGGTAGCCTTCAATATGGGTTTAGGATTGATTTTTCTATCCCTGTGAAGAAGGTAATTGGTATTTTGATAGGACTTATAGGAAACCATAGATTGGTTTGATTGTATGTTCATTTTAGCTGTTGTTTCTTTCTCTGTTTTTATTTTTCTGTGTGTGTGTGTGTCCTGTATAATTTCTTTCATTGGTGTTTTATAATTGTCACTGTAGAGAAGTTTCAATTCTTAGGATAAATTTGTCCCTTAATAGTTTATGGTTTTGTAGCTATTATGAATGGATAACTTACTTTCAGAGGAAGTTCATATGTTGCATAAAATGCAGTTGTGTTAATTTTATACTACAAGACTTTTTATAATAGTTTTTATAAGTTTTTACAAGTTCTAGTATATTTTCTTTTTTAATGGAGTATTTATATTTTTCTATGTGTCTCCATCTATGAATATGTATATTTTAACTCTTTCATTTCCAGTTAGGATGGTATAGTTATATATTCCATTCCCCCAATATATTGTGAACCTCAGTAAACTTATCTGGGGATCAGAGAACAAAGCCAGGCACTATATTAAACATAGAGGTCAGGCAGTAGTAGCACATGCCTTTAATCCCAGCATTCGAGAGGCAAAGATCTATCTGGATCTCTGTAAGTTCAAGGCACATTAGGAACAGATCCAGACATGGTGGCACACACCTTTAATGCCAGGACTTGAGATCTCATGCTTGCTTGAGAAAGACACACATCTTTAATCCCAGGAAGTGATGGCAGGAAGCAGAAAGGTATATAAGTTGTGAAGACCAGAAACTAGAGCTTTTAAGCTTTTATGCTTTTTGGCAGCAGTTCAACTGAGACCCTCATGGATGAGGGCTCAGAGGCTTCCAGTCTGAAGATTCATGGAAACAGGATCAGATGAGGAGTTGTCGAGGTGAGGTTGGCTGTGGCTTGTTCTGTTTCTCTGATCTTCTGGTTTTCACCACAATATATGGCTCCAGGTGTTTTCTATTAATAAGACAATTTAAGATTCATCTTACAGGGTGGTCGGTCTATATTTCTTCCCCTTTTTCTAATTGTTCTTGCTAAAATGGTACTCTATTTAATAAGAATGGTCAAATTCAGCATCCTCATTTTCTTCACGATTTTAACCCTTTCAGCTATCTCTGTTGTTCATGACATTGGATGTGAGTTTTTCACCTGTCACTTCGAGATATGGTACTTACATGACTAAATTGTTGAGAATTTTCATCATGAAATTATGTGAAGTATCACCAAATGCTTTTTATTTTAGATGTTGAAATGATCATAAATTGGGTTTGTCATTCTGTTGGTGTGTTTTATGTACAAGGCCCTTGGCTCAATCTTTAGTGTTATTGCTGGAAGAAACTCTTCGTTACCTGTAGCTTTTGTATTTTTGTTAAGTTTAGATTTATATCTGTACTCTGATTTTTATTGTTTCCTTTCTTCTATTTTCTTTTTTTGGTAGGCTTGTTTATGGTTTATGCTTCTCTTAGTCCATGTTGTGCATTATTATATCATTTCTTCAAGATGTTAAAATAATAATTTTAGAATTTAAAGTTTTAAATGCAATGAAAGTTCATCTAATAAAGGATGGAATTTGATGTAGTTATTAACAGCTTTATGTAGGACAGGGGTTTGTTTGCTTTATATAATTTTAGATAAAATATACCAAATAATCACAGCATCCCTAAAGTGGTAAGACACAATATTTCTGGCATCATCTAGCCTTAAAAACAAATATTCTTGTAAGAAAATACAAAGCCAAAACAGAAAACAAAACCAAAGAACAGTAAAACAAACGAGAGTGTAGAATTACAAATTAGTGAATAATTCATATTCAATTCACATTTTTGTATTATCTGGAAAAGCTTTTCTAAAATCCTTAGCATAAATAACCACTGTTTTCTATAGTCTCCCATAAGATTTGGCTCCTTTCTCTACTATTGAATACACTGATATTTGTTTCTATGCATGTCCAACTTTCCACTGGATTAAGAACAAGGAAGAGTTTAGACTTTGTTCTAACCACCATAATATGGCATTTCTCAAGAGGTTAGGTGCTACTAAAATTATGATACATACATCATAACTAATTGTATAAACAAAACATAAAAGAATAAGAGCAATAATTCCATACATTATATTAACCTGTACAATGTACACGTGTTCAATGCACACGCCTTTAATCCCAGCACTTGGGAGGCAGAGGCAGGCGGACCTTTGTGAGTTCGAGGCTAACCTGGTCTACAGAGCAAGATTCAGGATAGGTGCAAAGCTACACAGAGAAACCCTGTCTCAATAAACAAAAGAAAATGTTATTTTGAAGTCTTTAAGAATAATTTTGTGACAATTATGATAATTATTTTAAATATTTAATTGAGAAAATACAATGTGAAGATAAATAGACTTAGCACCATTTCTGTATAGTCACATTTCATTGCAGTTTTTTTTAAATCTGCACAGCATTGTTTAATTTGCAAAATCATTAATAATGTGTACATCTTGTTAAAACTTGTGTTTTTGGCTTGCTAGTTTTAGGAGAAGCTTGAGGGTTATA